TGACTCTTCATTGCCTGGCTATTTATCCTTTCCTTACTCTGAAAAACATTCCAATACCTTCTCTACTTAATTATTAATACTACAAAATAAGGCACAACCCTATACCCAATGGAAGTCAAGTGATAGAAGAGTTAATTCCACCCTCTCGTAAAACATTTGCCAACCCAACTCTAGTTAATTTTTAGTTGAATTCTCTGACAGTCGTCGAACCATAAATTTAAGTTGATTAAATAGCAAGTGAATTGCGGATATCAAAATGAATTAACTGCCATAACTCCCACAGTAACTTCACCCCTTATTCCCCCATTCAAATAACTTTTGCTTTTCCAACATACGTATACGTAATATACGTAATATAAATACGTATACGCAGCTTTGGCAGTATCATTAAAAATGCAATCATGCCGGTTGGCTTCCGGATTAGTTTCGCGTCGGAAATAATAATTATGTGTCATAAAAATGTTGAACTAATTTGTTGGGCATAAAAAAACAGGGGAAAAATATACAGATATGCAAGATAAGCAAGTTGACAAATCAACACAACAACATTAATTTCGCGCTAGAAAAACTCACCCTCAATCCAGAGGAAAATTGTATAAAAATGAAAATCCAGGCAGACTGAATCAGATGCTTGGATCTTTGTATCCTCCGGCAGTAAAGCAATTACATTTAATTATCAAAGCGTTATGCAAATGTTGGCTGCCTCTTAAATAACATAAATAAAATCCAGGCAGGAGTAGAAGCAGGAAATCTCCGCCCAAAAAAGAAAAAGACGGCGCTGGAAAATTAAAAAGAAATCAAATGCGGTGTAGTCAGTTTTTCCCTCAATTTTCCCTTGTCCCGAAAAAAGGACCCACAGAGAGAAATCCTGTTTGAGGTTGCTCATATAGCGTGACAGTCTGTTGCCTTTTTTCTGGTGGACTAAGTCGGGAGCCGGGAGTACCACATGGACACCACTGGCTTGGAGTTGGAAACTGGGAGCTGGGAGCTAAACCGCAGGAAGACAGACAGTAGCAAGGGATGCTGACTAACAGATGGATGCATTTCCAACGGAAACTTGGAAAAACCAAAGGGAGAGAGACACAGAGCTGACAAACAGAAATTTAATTTGAGTTATGTATTTTTTGGGTGTGCGGTTTATAAGCTTGTTAAATCAATAGAAATACAAAATGTTTCTTGACTTCAAATTGCATAATGTAAGACTTAAATTTATACTTTCTTAAGCTTAATTTCAACTTAAATCTACACATGTTCTCTTACTAGTTATGTTTTCTTTTCCCTTTACATCCCTTACACAATCTCGGACTGCTCATTTCCCTTGGTTTTTGTTTTCTTTACCACTATTTCTGCTATGAGGCTTCAGGCCAGGGGACCACATGGCGTATGCTTAATTTTGTTGCCACTTTGACAACTTGACTGTCTGCCTGCGGGGGCTGAGTGTGTGTGTGTGTGTGTGTGTGTGTATATATCTCAGTGTGTGTTGCCAGTGTGTGTTGACCAGGGGACAGCCAGTGTCCAGAGTCCAGAGATGAGATGAGATGAGTTGAGTTGAGCAGAGTTGAGGCCAGGCCAGGCAGGAGGTGTTGTCTGGCAGAAATTAAAAGGGTTTTATCACAAGTGCATTAAAAATATACCTCACAGAGAGAGAGAGCCAAGAAGAAAATAGAGGTTGGGGGAAAAAGCAGGGAGGCTGCTTGGCGGAAAAAGACCAACCGACAAACAACCTAATTAACTTGTCAAAAATTCCGACTCCCAAAAAGGAGAAGCAAAGAGGCAAAGAACTGAGAACTGAGAACTGAGAACCGAAAATAAAAGCACCAAAAGGACCAAAAGGACCAGAAAGCAAAAGCAAACAAAGGACGGTGGGTTTTGCCTACGTGCCCGGCTTAAGGTTCTATTAAAATTTCAATTAAATATTTCTTTTCCTCCACGCACAACGACTCGCTTTCGGGCCTTTTGCCGTACTTATGTGCTTTAATTATTGTTTTTATAATTATTATAATTATGATTGCGAGACAGAGACTGAGACCCTCCCGGGAGGGTGTTTGTATAGCGACAACAAACGCAAAATGAAAACAAAAATATATCCAGTGCAAAGCATTGGAAGGGAAAACTTTTGTACTTGCTGAAAGGCAAGCGGGGAAAAACTGGTTAAGGAAGGTACTCGAGAGCAGCGGCCATTTCGCACGCAAAATGTTTAATTATTGAAAATTCCCCCTGCGATGCTGGGGAAATCGGGGGAAAAACTGAGACAACAAAAATCTGCTTACGTGACATTCTTCATTTTGTGGGTGAGCGAGAGAGAGAGAGAGAGAGAGAGAGAGAGAGAGAGAGAGAGAGAGAGAGAGAGAGAGAGAGAGAGAGAGAGAGAGAGAGAGAGAGAGAGAGAGAGAGAGAGAGAGAGAGAGAGAGAGAGAGAGAGAGAGAGAGAGAGAGAGACTTTGCTGCATGTGGGGAAAATGCTAGGAAAAGCGCCAGCAGGAATAGCAGCAAAAGCTTTGCAAAACTAAAGACACAAATGTGCAGAGAAGAAAAAAATACGAATGAAAAGTAATATATATATTAAAGTTAATGATAAAATAATCAAAATAACTTATAATTAAAATTACATTAAGCTAATTAAGTTTTCAAATTATTAAAAATACTTTTAACAAACAAAAACAATGGATTTCTCTTTGGTTTTTATTTAAAAATATAATTTTGTATTATATTAATATTATAAGTATACATTTCTCCCTTTTTTTCGATCAAGCTATTCCTGCTGGTTGCTTAAAAAATAAACTATTTAAGATTTCCATTGTACAAAGTCAAATTGCATTTAGTTTTAATTGTGCAAAATATTTAACTTAATAATGTTAGTGGGAATCCAATGTTTTTGTTTAAACAAATGTAAATACATGGATATAACAAATAATAACTAAAATATTATAAGAGATTAAGAGACTTAAGCCAGAAAACTTGAATTGCTTTAATATTTAATAACACTGTAAGGATAGTCTTGAAATTTATCAATATATTTACTTATTTTAATTGCAAAAGTGTCTAAATGTCCGAAAAATATTTAAAAAATGTCTAGGCAATTTTAAGTTGTATTTAACAATCTATTAGTAATGAAATAATCATTGCTCAGACTTAAAAGTTACTAATTATTAAAAATATATATATTTATATATTTATGTATATATATTAATGTAATTTAATACCTTTAAAGTTGATGTATTTTACAACTCTTTAGTGATCTCAGTGTTGCCAAAAATACACGCAGACAGGCACTGAGAGTTAAACTAAAGCGTTCACAAGGACCAACAGACAGACAAAAGCCGCACACGTAGATATGTATGTATGTAAGCGAGCGAGTGAGCGACATCCTGCTGCACTTGCCGCTGCCTCTCGTCCTATTGCCACTAAAAAGGAGCGCCGCAAGCAGTTTGCCTTCAACTTGAGCCGCCACCTTTACATCACTGAATGCACTGTTGCAAAAATATAATCCCCAAGACGGGGATTATTTAAGTGCTTAAAACATATGGAAATTCAGCAAATGCAGATTATGGAATTATAAGTATTTTCTATGTTGCATATTTATTTAAATGAAGGAGAGTTTGTAAATATTCTTAATAGGCTGTTGTAAATTCAGTTCTTAATTGTGCATCTTCATCCAAATTAGAACATCCGATGACAGGGCACTTTTGGTGCACTTGTAACCTCAGTGTGACCAGATCATAGTATCAGGATAATGAGTGAGATCTGTTCCTACTGCCCCAACCATAAGAGTGAGAGAGACAACTATCTAGACAAGTTAGAAAGTGGGAAACGAGAGAAAAAAATATGGCTGCCGAACAGAGAGTTTCTGTACATTTTCCTTTTAACACTTGAACATTTTCTGATCCCAATTGATAGAATTAAAATATTCTTCTCTATCAAAAGATCCCTAAGCATTTCTTTCAGTGTCTTGTTGGCAGTGCCCGCGACTTTTCAACGGGCGGCAACGGCGGTTTTTGCGGAGCTGCCATCCGTCTGTTCCACAGCCTCCGTTCGGCTGTCTGGTCTCCGGCTACGTGTCTATTTGAATTTACGCCACTGCTCCTCCGGCTTGAACGGATATACCCTGTAACTTAAGGTGTGTCGGACCAAGCGATCATCCCTACAGCATTTTTTATTTATATATTTATTTTCGGCTGCAACCGGAAACGGAAGTCGCTGCAACTGCCTGAAAAGTTAGCACACAGAGGGATTCTTTACTCTCAAAGTGAATTGAAATTATTTGGCAAATTGTGCAGCGAGGCACGAAAGAAAAAAGAAATATATATATAGAAAACTGAGTAAAAATCGGCAACATTTTATGCAAATCAACGCACAGATTTTCAGGTAAAAAAGAAAGAGAGTTCGTGGAAAAAGGCAGCAATGCGGGAATGTAATTGAAAAACTGCAGTGACAAATGCATTGCGGGTTATATACGCTTTTCCGCCCCGGGGATTTGTGCGTGGCACTCGATAAGCGTTTAAGTAATTAAATGCACGCACGTGGCCATTGATAAAGCAGCTTTCCCCAAAAGACCCAGATCCGCATTAGTATTCTGAAGCCATAAGAGAGGAATTTCATTCAGCTAAAAGTAGCTTTTTGCCGACTTAATCCAATTAAATAAGGATTCAAGCATTATGGCAACGAACAAAAGAATTATTATTCATATTCTACTTATGATTTAAGCTTTTAGGGAACTCTTGCAGTGAATTATGTAGTTTTTGAACTGCCGCTATAAAGTATATATATTCTTGATCAACATCAACAGTCGCGTCGATTTAGCCATGTACGTCTGTTCGTTTACCTGTCCATCTGTCCCTCGGTTTGAAAGTTAACTTTATCAAAGAAATTGCTGACTATTTTTTTTTAGTATATAAGTCGGAACAGGTAATTTTCCAGTATATGATATTGTCGTCCAGTCCGATTTCGAACTTCTGCTTCCATAAATTTCGAATCTAGTAAGCATTTTTAATTGTGTTATTTATATTCTTTGCTCTATACCATAACATTTTAGACACTAATCCTAGTCGGAACTAATACTTTGACTTGTTTATTTGTTATTTTTGGTAAACTCTAAAATTTGTTATAACTAAAAGCGGTGTTAATATTTAGATAACTTTTCAGGCCTCATCTTGTGTGCTCCAGTTTGTTTCCGCCATGTTACAACTTGGGGACATTCAGCCCTTTTCTTGGATCACTTTACTACCTTGACCGGCTTCCGTTTGGAAAGATCGGATGAGAGTGTTTGGGAGCAGCCACTTTTACTGATGATTTCGCAATTCAATCCAGCTTTAACTTCAAGTTAATATACAGGAGGACGTCAGCTCCCAGTTATTGAACGCAAAATTGTTGCCCGTTTATCATTTTAGACTTCCTATCAACAAACATTTGTAAGCTATTTCTGCCTTTTCCGGATTTTCGAGTAAATGGAGTCGTCTTTTAAAAATATCTCAAATGGTAGCATGGCTCTGCCTACCCTTTGATATAATTTTTAAGGAAGACTTGTATTTACTTATTGATCTCTTTCCTTTTTACTCCATTGGACACTGACTGATTAATATGTATATTTTTCTAAATTTATAGTATTATATCAAACTTTTAGATTTTTCTAAATTAACCTTGAATAATTTTCAATAAAGCCAATTTTATAACGTTAAATATGATATGTGTTGATTTCGATATATAAAAGTATACAATAATTTACCTTTTTATTGATACTTTTCGATAAAATATATATTTTATCACTACAAAGTTATTAGATATTTTACATTTTATCTTGCATATTTTTGGATAATACCTATTTTTTTATATAGATAATACCTATTTGTAATATGCAATAATCAAGATATCAAAATTTAGGATATATATGGGTAAGTTAATAAACTTAATATCTTAGTAGATATATCATATCGAAACTTTGCTTTTTGAAATACTTCCCTGACAAGGTTCGATTAACTTGCCTCCTTCCACGTGTGATCCCATTTTGCCTTTAGCCGATATGTACTTTTGTGGGAAAAAAAGTAATTTTATAATCAAATTGAAATTAAATTGACCACTTAATCACCAATCAATATAAATGCTAATGTTTATCCCTTTTATGGCGCCGCGGAAAATCCTTCGCGCATTTTCCGGTTCCAGTTCAGTGGGAAAAGCGTGTAAATCACTAAATATTTAATGCAACCTCGGATATAGAGTTTATATTCATTTGGAATTAAAGTCTATAGCCTGAAGCCTGGGGCTTTCTGTAACCTGTAAGTTCCCCTGCCAAGTAAAAAGAGCCATAATTATGCGTAAATAATAAATTGTTGCTTTATTGAATTTCATTCCATTAAAATGTTACCACATAATGAGATGTGTATACATGTATAAGAGTGTGAGTTTTATGTGTGCGTTTCTGTGTTGTTTCTTATTATTTTTTTGTTTATTTCTTGTTACGCTGATACCTTTGAAGATTGTTACATTTCCCGTTGCCAAATAATCGAATTCATTTTTTTTTTGCGCATCGCCAACTTAAGGGGTTTCAATTTAAAGTTAGCCTTGAGTTTCTAAATTCTAATAAAAGCTCGTTATCAAATGAAATGATTTTTGTATGAGTAAATCTTAACGGGGATTAGTCGCCACTGTGCTTAGTTTAATTGCTGGCGCTTCTCTTACTTATTTTTTTTCTCTCCTTTGATATGTTAATTACACCGCATTGCATCCTCTCTCTCTCTCTCTCTCTCTCTCTCTCTCTCTGTGCTTGACTTCCGCTTCCGCTTTCTCTGCTTTCTCGTTGCTTATACAATTTTTATTTCCGCTGAGTGTGTGTTTGTGTATTGTGTTGTGTGTAATGCATTATTTGTTCTTTATGTTTACTGCTGCTTTCTCTTATTTTTCTACACAAAGGTATTTTGTATTTCTTAAGGGTTTTTCAACTCGTTTTTTTATGTGTTTGAGTGTTTAATTTGCTTCCGACTCTTCTGAAAGTTATTAAATCAATTAAAATATGTATTTAAATAATTTTAAACACTTTTGAAATACTTTAAATAGACGGTTTTCAAATACCAACATTTTATGCAAAAATTATATTTCTGGTAGCTCAAAAATATTGAAATGAAACTTTATGTTATAATAAATACTGAGAAGTTGTGAAAAATATTATTAGTTTGTAATTAATAAATAATATTAAGACGTTTTAAGTGTTGTCATTATTTTTAAAAATGCAAAACACTTACACTAAAAAAGTTTTTAAAAAATACCACAATTCAGAACCAACAAATTCATACAGAATCTTATAAGATGAGTTTTAGAACTCGCTGCAAAAGTGACCTAAAAGTATGCAATAATATCTCTTTCAGGGGACTTTAAACTTTTGGTCTGAAGCAAAACTTGTTAAAATATATAATTGTCTGCTGATATGTTGCCTTTGTTCTTTATTTATCTTTGTTTTATTTTTTGCTATTTGATCTCTATAACGTATTTGCTGTTATTTAGTTCTGACTAATTAAGTGTTTAATGTGTTAAGTTTCCTTGTGGTTAATGTTGTGTTCCTCTTGTTTTTTCTCTTTTGTTTGAATTTTGAAACCTATTTCGATGGACTTGCGTGCAAGGGGCGAGAAGAAAGCGTTCCTTGTGTGTAAATGTGTGTGTGGAGAGGCGATTTCTCTAACAATTTCATCTAATGTTTTTTTTAAATTTATTTCCAGCTAATTTACACCCAATAGCAATGCTCTCATTAAACTAAAAAAGACACCAATCGAAATTAAAACAAGAATTTAATGTGTTTTTCTGGTTATCACTTTTTGATTTCTAACAGCTCTTTGAGTGTCTGTGTATTGGGTGTGTCTATACGTTTGTGTGTGTGTGTGTCTACAGGTGTGTGTTTTGGTGTTATTTGCTATTTATACACAAAAAAATTTCGGTTTTTTTCGTTTGCTTAATTTTTACATTTTTTTTTTCATGTTTTCTTTTTAAATTTTCTTGTTATTTAATTTATTGTTTTATTCCTCTAACGTTTATCGTTTAAATGTTTTCGTTTTTTTTCTTTTTTAATATTCACCACAAAAAAAATATGTTTACGACAATTATCTCTAGGTCTTTGATTCGCCTCCTCTTGTTCTTTATAGAACATAAAACACCAAAAATAATACATCCGAAAGCGGCGACTACAATATAGTACTAGATTTATGTTTAATTTTCTTTTATTTTCTCTTTTTTAAAGGGGTAACAGGTGTGGAAAGGGGAATGGAAATTTGTTGATCGAAGGGTTTATTAATTTTATTTAATATTTCGGGATTTTTTCTTTCGGATTTTGGTTAATATTATAATATTTTCTTTCATGAAGTGAAACAAAAACACTCTTTAATATCAGTCCAAAGTTTTTTAACTTGAATTTAAATTTAAAACTAACAATATACCGCAGAATTTTGTAAAAAAGTGAACTAAAAGTAAGTAATAATATTTTTAATATTCATTTTTAGGACTTAAATATTTCAAAGAAAATTCTCAATGATTTATCTTGTGAAAGTGTTATGAAATCACTAAAAAAGTGATCTAATGAAACTTTTAATTTAGGTTTTAAGGAATTTTAAATGCCAAAACAAAATAATTGATTCAAGAAGTTATATTATATAATAATGAAAATTCATAATGTAAATTTTATGCAGCTAATTATTCACCAATAAAACATATATACAAAATTAAATAAAAAAAATCATATAAAAATGTTTTAAAATTTCTTTAAATTATGGTAAAATATTTATACTTAAAAATTAAATAAAATTCTTGAATATTTTAAAAGAAATTCTCAAAGGTTATAATTTTAAAAAGACTTTAACTTTTTGAAATCACTGTTAAGTTAGCTAAAAGTATGCAATGATATTTTTACTCCACATTTTGGGGGCTTACTGGAAATTCTTAATATATTTAAATCTCAAAATATGTATTTTAAAATATATTTTAAAATCATTCAATTGATATTTTTGTTTTATATTTTAGAAGCTCTTTTGGGCTATGAGAAAATGTGTGTTCCAACGATCTCTATTATCCTTTCTCCACTTTCCATTCCTGTTACCCATTCAGCGATACTGCGCCTCTGGCTCTATATATGTATGTCTGCCATTCCCCTCCAGCTCTGATCCTATCCAGCTGCGGCGGCTTAAGGCATCGGATAGTGATTCTGCTCAAAGTCTTTGTGTCGCTCGCCCAGCGACCTGTCCAGCCGCCGATCCGTGATGGCCACGAATGGCAGGCGTGACTGCTTGCCTATGCTGCTTCCGGCCAGGCCGGAACCAATGCCACCACCAATGCCGTTGGCCATGCCGATGCCATCCACAACGCGATGGTAAACGAATGAATTGAGCGGCGAGGGTGCTCCTTTGCCGCTTCCTCCTCCTCCTGGAGGATTCTCTCCTCCTCCTCCTGCTCCTCCTCCTCCCCCGGCTGGCTTCTCTGCCGTGGCATTGACCATTGTCTCCAGGCGGGGCCAACTGCTTTGGCCACGACCCGCCACATTGGCCACAAACTGAGCACTCCGGCTGCGACTGCGCGGCGTTCCCAGGAAGCTGCCGGCTATGGCCGGATACGAGGGTAGCTTAAACAGAGCCGGCTTCGGTGTGGACGTGGACGTGGTGGATGTGCCTGAAGCTGTTGCCTTATTGGCCATTTCCCGCTGCCAAAAGTCCAGGGCAGCGGAGGAGGCTGGCCCTGGATCTGGGTGTTCTTCCATGGAATCCGAGGCGGCAACATCTTCCTCTGGCAAATGATTGCTAGCCGTGGTTGTGGATGCCGCTCTTCGTTCCTCCTCGATCTCGTCCTTGTATTCCTCATCTTTGAATACGCCATCGTTAAGTTTGAGTGGCTTTATGACCATGCCACTGCCCACGTAAATGTACCCAGCGTCCTTGGAGGAGCTCTTCTCCTTGGCTCCTGCTGCTGGCTGATGATGAGCCACAGGCAAGGTGGGCGTGGGCGTGGGCGATGTCTCCGTGGCATTCAGGTGACTCCGCTGTTGGGCAAACAAATCGAAGCGTTGGTGCTGATGCTGATGATAGCGACGCCGCTTCTCCTTTAGATACTCATCATCCAACCGGACCCCGGATTCGGTGCTACTGCTGCTGCCTCCTGGCGGCGGCGGAGCATTGGTGGGCGTGGGCAGGGTTCCTTCGAGCAGGTTGAGAAGTTGCTTGTTCCTCCGATTGTACTTCTTGATGTATGGCGGCAGATTGGCCTCCTCGCCGCGCTCCTGCTGTGCCTCCTCCAGCTCGGCGGCGCTCTCGTAGTCATCCTCGTAATCGCTGTACAACTCTGGATGGGATTCGCGGTAGTGTTCATCGTAGACCTGGAACTGCACTCGGGCTAGATGTGGCCACTTGGCATAGTAACGCTCCAAGTGCTGCAATTCGGTGATCTGGTGTCCCAGCTGCGGTTTTGGTGGCGGCAGTGGAGGCGTCGGTGGCGGAGAACTGGTGGCACTGGAACCTCCTAATGTGGTCTGCCCGGCCTTCCTTTGGTAGGGATTACTGCCTCGTGATCGCAGATTACCTGACGTCGATTTCTGATGATGATTGTGCTGACTGCGATGGTGGTTATAGTGGTGGTTATGTTGGTGGTGATGATGATTGTTCAAGTGTCCACTGTGATGGTGTTGATGGTGCTCCTGATGCTGCTGGTGATGATGTTTCTGGTTTTCGCCCTGGGTCTTGACACCATTGCGCAGCACTGGACTTATCCTTCGATACCAATTGCCATTGTCGTGAGCTATCAGTCGCTCCATCTCTGTGCGATGCTTGAGATCCTCCTCCAGCTGCTGCTGCTGCTCTTGCTCCTGCTCCAGCTGATGGTGATCGAAATAGTTGACCTGTCCCTCATAGAAGGGTTTCTGGGGTCTCAAACCCACGGCGAATATGGGCGGTGAGTGGGAGGAGAAGGAACGTTCTCGTTCTCGTTCCCGTTCACGTTCCCTCTCCTTCTGAAGCTTTTGGAGATGCCTGGCTGAGGCGGTGGGCTCTGGCGGAGGAGGAGGAGTTGTCCCGACTGGCTGCCGCTTCAAATAGTCCTTGTAGCGCTTCTTGTGGCTCTTGTGTCCCGTCCGCTGGCGACTACGGCGGAGAGCCTTGAAACGTTCGAAGGCAGACTCTGGGGCTGAGGTTGGTGACTCGGTGGTGTCTGGAAAATAGAAAGAGTCCTTTGTTAGTCTCGGCACGCTGCTCCAGGCTCGGAAGTAATAGATTTCTATTAGGCCAAAGGACAGCCGAAATATAGGGTATGTAAGGGGTATATTCAAATATTGCGAAAGTGTAAGATTACATTAAAATTCAACTAAAAAATTATGTCAAGCAAATATTGTAAATTTCAACTTCTGTGAATTATAAAAATTCATGAAGAAATTATTTAAAAAATACTACCTTTCACAGTCCTAGGTACCTAAGGTATTCCCTGCAATTGGTGTGGTTTTCCTTCTTTCATCCGATTTTACCCGGCTTAGTCTTGCTCCAGGATCCTTACAAACCGCACAAATCCCACCGTCCATCGTCTCCTTCATACAAATTCATTTCATTTTGATTTGTGTCCGCGAGGGAAGCATTACAAATCATCAAGAAACATAGAAACATAGCCACATTCTAGGACTGAACTTGTGTTTCAGCCCTCGCTGGTGTCCTTCTGACACAGTCCAGGCACGTCCTGTCCCAACCTCCCCTTAAGAAGTTCATTTCTGGGCCAATCCCCTGGACAGATTTAGCTTGCTTCGAAAATCTTTACCCATATACATATTTATATATATATACACACGATATTTGCTATTTTGTGAGCTTTATTGCTTAATGTTACGGAGGTTGGAAGCACAACTTTTTCCGTTTGATTTCTTTTCGTTTTTCACCAATGAACATGAAAATTGAAAGAAAATTTGCATAAACTTGAGCGTAAAGCTAAACTAATTAGGGCTCATGCGAATTTCCAGAGCTCTTTAAGCGCATATTAAAGACACTTTTCCAACTCTCATCTCTCGTTTGTCTGGGGAATGCTTTGGGGATTTCCCTTACATATTTTCAATTTACCACACAAGCACACATCCCACACTCAGCCTGACTTTGATGGGATCTCTAACTGAGGTCCAGATCCCGCACTGTGGAATGCGGCACAGTGGGGCCAACGGCTAAAATTCCTGCTGGGCAAAAGTATGTGACTCAAAGGGAGCGGGGAAATATGCTTGGTTTGATGTACATTCAGGGGGAAAAGAAAGAAACCTACAGTTGAGTGTATGTGAGTATGAGATATCCGATGCCAAAGCATTGTGGATGAAATTAAAAGAAACATGGCTTATAGTCACTTAGTTGAATTATGCTTGAATTTATTAAGAAACTTTAATTAAACAGAAGGGAAAGCTAAAGAATATGTTGGCAAAAGAACTGATGTTGCTAGAAAATTGGTGGGCAATATCCATTTATAGACATATGTTGCTAGAAACATGTTGTGAAAACTCATTGTAAATGTTGCTAATGTTCAATTAATACAGCAACTTTGGCGACTAATAACTTCTATGTTTATTATCAGATTTTGCTAACATTTTCAGAGAGAGATTTTATTATTCAATATTAAATAATTTGAATAGAATTTGAATTGTGACAAGGGAAGCTGGTGTTGCTAGAAAAATGATGCGCAATATCCATATAAAGACATATGTTGCTAGGAGCATGTTGAGCAAAACCATTTGTAAATGTTGCTGAACTTTAAAATCCTTATAGTAACTTTGTTGTCTTATAACTCCTATGTTTATTATCTGATTTTGATTTCAGACGGGCAAAGGAACATGACTATATCAACCGGGTTGTAATACTAATAAAGAATCAATATATGTGTTATTTATATATAGTCCCTTGACTTACCCTGACGATAGCGTTGCCAAGCTGAATCCACATCAGTTTCCAATTTCCCCTCATCTGGAGGACTTTCCACCTCGACCTTTGCCTCCTCCTCTTCCGGCGGCGGCTGCTGTTCGGCATAGTCATCGTCCACGAAACGCGGCTGCTGCAGCTTCCGTATCGCAGAGAAGCTCAAGGAGTTCTCTTCCAGGTCCTGCGACCTGGTTGTATCGAAGGTGGCCAGCTTCCGCTTGATGTTGCCATTGTCATAGTAGTGCATCTCACCCAAATTCAAATCCTGATCTTCCTCACTGTCCTGCTCCTCCTCCTGCTGCCTAATCCTGCCGATCTCATAGTTGCTGCCATAATATCTGCTCTCCGTTGGTATTGGCCTCTTTAAGCCAAAGACATTGCCGCCATGACGCTTTTGTTTGTGGCCAATTATTGGTGTTGGTGTCCTTGTTGTTGAACTGCTTGCGGGGCTTGTTGGTGTTGAAGTTGTCGTTGTTGGTGTGACTTTGGTTGTTGCTGTATCTGTTGTTGGCATTGCTGTTGTTGTTGTTGTTAATGCGGCAACTGAGTTTTTCTTCTTGTTAAGCAATCCATCATTGTCATTGGACAACTTAATGTCCAAACTCTCGCCCCCATCCTCATCGTCTTCGCCAACGTCATCGTCATCGCCATCGTTGTCTGTTGGCAATACTTCATCATTATCCAAATTGTCCTCGATATCGCCAATGGCCTCGTCCACCTGTCTGGCCCCGTGTTGCTGCTCCTTTTGCTGCTCCTGGCCGCCAGTTGGCTTATTAAATTTTCGTTCATTTAATATTTCAATGGAATCGAACAGCTGCGACTCCTCAAGTAGTAGTTGTTGCTGTCCATCGTCGCCACGCTTCCGTTGCTCCTTTGGCAGCTGATGTTGCTCCTGTTCCTGCTGCTCCTTCTGATGCTGCTGCTGCTGCTGCTCCTGCTGTTGATTTTGCTGTTCGTGCATGTTCTTAAATTTTTTATACGCAAAACTTTGCCTGCCAAAGTTCGCGTTGTCCTCGTCGCCGGAAGTGAACGTTGTACCACCTACGGTAGGAGCTCCTTCTTCTCCTCCATCTCCTCCATCGACGGCCTTAGTTGCTTTAGTCGCCGGCTGGTTTTCCTTATTGTTTTTCAATTTGTAGTTGTAGTGGCTTATATTGTTCTTCTTCTCCTTGGCCCTCTTCTTGTTGTTGGCATTGTTGTTATTTTGGTATTTCTTGGCGTCCAGGTAAACACTGAAATTCTTTGAAGTGGGCCTTTGAGATTCAAGTATCTGGAAGCGAAAAAAATAATGGTATTAACACGGGTATTTCAAGGTGATTTTATCGATGTAACTGGGCTATAGTTTTTTCTATGAAATAAAAAGGTCAGAGAAATTCAAGGTTTAGCTGTCGAAGGTTGTTCAAATTCCTTAAAAGTGTGACATAAATGTTTAAAATACAAACATTAAATTCAATACATTTAAAAGATGCTTTTACTCATAAGAGGTTACTTAAACTCATTTAAAACTTTAGTAAAATCGTTTAAAATATATTACTAATGTTAAAATGTATACAAAATTGAACGGAATTGTTTTTATTAAAAGAATATGTTAATAAAAAGATAAATATAAATAAATAATCTGTACAATTACCCAAGTTAAGAGGGTAAAACTAATGTACTCATTTTCCATTAGTATTTATTTAAAATTATTTTAAAACTCTTAAAGCTGTGGTTAAATGTTTTAATTATATAACCAAAACTTTAATTATATGAATTACATAGATCATTTTGCTAACGAATTAATAAATTTTAATAAAAATGCTTTTAACTACCTAAATTTAAAATCTAAAACTAAATTTATCTTTAAACTGAATTTCGATTATCAAATGGATTTAAATACCTTACAGCAGAAGTAAAAATGCTTTAAAAATATAAATAATACTAATATATATATATATTAAATTGAAATTATATACCTTTTATAAAAAATTTAGTTCACAAATAAATAAATAATGCTTTAAAACCTATAACAATTTTAAATTAACACTTTACATAGTTTCAGAGTTAGCTAAGCTCTCATATAAAGGGTATATGTAAGTACCTAAAAATAAATTTAAAAAAAAAACACCAAAACTAAATTCGAAATAAACTCAAAGAAATCTCCGTCTTAGAAGCTCTCTTTTAAGGATGTCAGGACGAGGTCCTAGCCAAGGTGTATGTGTGTGTGTGGCCTGCACATGTGCAGCTTTAGACAATAAAATGAAACTTTCATTTCGTGCCCGACTTGAGTGTCTGCAAATCGTTGATTAAGGGATGAGGGGGGGGGGGGGGGAGAGTGGAGGATGGAAAAATGGGAAAATGGGAAATTCAAAGAAATTGACAGTACATCGAGGTGGGAAAGGTACTCCCGAGTACTACAAATGTTGGGTTAAGTGCATTTCAAAGTGCTAAAAGCTGTTTTCCAATTTTTTTTTTAAGTTCCCCTTACTTTAGGGCTTTGTTTTTGCTTCTTTTAAATTGCAAGAGTTTTAATTTTAAAGTATTTTATTTTTTATTTTTATATAACATAATATTATGGGTTAAAATGCTTAAGTGGTTTTCCCATTTAATAAATTTGCAATAGTTTTTATTACTAAATATAATTTTCGGTCTTTAAGTAAGTAAGTAAAATACATATTATTTATATTTTTTCAAGACTGTTTCTGTTTTTTGGTAATTTACTTATTTACCGCTTTTCTCTCTGATTTTTGTTATATTTCTCAATTATTTGTTTGGCTTAATTTCGGCTCCAAAAATGATTTCAAGTGCTGGCTTGACTTGGTCTCATTTTTTGCTCAAGTGACTTTCAATGCAGAGATTGTGCTGGCCCCCTTTTTTCGCCAAAACCCCCTTAATATTTCTGGGAAAAGTAATCTGACTTGGGCCATTCGCATTGTGCGATATTTGAATGGACACCCCGATCCACTGGCCCCCATATTACCCGGCCCTTGGTTCAATAGAACTGACCTCGTTCGGCATGGACTTGACTGTAGGCCCGGGCCCTCTATAAAGCAGGCTCTTATATTTGTTTGTGTGCCCTCAAAAAAAAGAGAGAAAAAAATGGTATAAGCTCAAAGGTACACTGGGGGAAACATAAGGATTTTATTTGAGAAAAAATAAATGAGAAAGGCCTGAAAATAATTGGAAAATAAGGGGGCTAAAAGGTTCTTTAATAATAAGATTGCTTCTAGCTTTTGAGGTTTCAATAAAAGCGTAATATTTGTAAAGTTATTTCAGTTTTGAAAATAAAAACAGATAAAAAAAATATATTTTTTTAAAATTTAGTAAGGATTATTTATATCAAAACTCTAAATCTTGTTGAACATTGCTTTTTTGATACAAATCAAAATATTGCATAAAGATTATTTTCTTTGAGTGCAGAGACATATGTGGTGTACTTGTGTATGCGTGTGTGTACTCACAATATCAGCTGCCTCGGATGCATCCTCATCCTCCTCGTCCTGCTGCTGCCCATGCTCCATCAGGCCAAGTCCCGCATCCTCGTCATCGTTGTCGTCCTCGTCATCGTCGTCCTCCTCCTCGTTTGTGCCAGATGGAGCTGCTGCACCAGATGGAACATATTGCATCTGGGGCGAACCGAGGACCTCATCCTCGATGTCACCATCGTGCTGGTCAAATATGTCCTCCGGAATGGTGGCCTCTTCTTGCAAATTGAAATCTGTGGAGGAGCAAGTGAGAAGTGAGATGAGCGGGATAGATAGCAAAAAAAAAGAGATCTAGTTTAAAAATGTACAGATGTGGGCAAAATAATGCAGGTATACTTGAGTTAACATATGTATTCTTTATGTTTTCATAGAGACTTTTTTGAGGTATCGATATTTAGATAATTTAACGATAGAGTTGCGATATATATACAAGAAATCGATTTTCTGCTTAATATTTCGATATGCGCCCAAGAAAAGACTTAACTTAAAACTGTCTTTGTTGGAAATAGATATTTAGTATATATAATATCATAAAATATATACAAAATCACGCTGTAATAGCGTTGTAATAATGTTGTAGTGACTTTACAATAAGGTTCTTTTTACGCAAAGAATATCGATCAACAAAAATAATAGTTTGTGGATATATTTTCGATAATATGGATATTAGAACGAAGAAAGAAATGTTTCTAAATTTCATGGAATTGAAATTAATTTTCTATATTTATTATATGGATATAAAATTGTTTTCTCCACATTATTATTTTATCTTCAGCAGTGTTCCTGTGTATTTGGAAATATATAAACATTAAGGCATACTGAATATTTTGTTATACAAATTTCCCAGCACTATTATTCTGACCGCAACTGTAGTGTTAGCTGCAGATATGCAGAAGGGGTGGTACACCAATGCCGGGGGCATCGTTCAGGTGGGTAGCCAGAAGAAAAAAAAACCAAACCCCCTCAAGGAGCGCCCCAACAATAAAATAACACAGAAAAGGTCAGCGGCTATAGTATCTCAAGTGCGCTGCAAGACCAAAAGGAGGCAAAGGAAAAACCGAGGCAGGGATGAGTGTGTGTGTCCTTTAGCTTTTTACTTAAATAAAAGTAAGCTGCTTGAATTGACTTCCACTTCGGGGATACCAGTATATATATGCAGATATATGCAGATACATATGGATGTATGTTTGTAGGTCCTGTGTAGCCGCATGCATGACCTGAACAAAATAGGTTTTTACTCATAGTTGAATAGACAGGCATTCCTTTTTGCTCTCCATTCTGTTGCTTTTTATTCCGTGGTGCTGGTGGCTCTTTTATGCTCTGTCATTGACTGAATTGCCATTTGGGGAAACTCAAGGAGGCAAGGTCCTGGCACACACACACACATATATATACATACGAGATTAAAATAAAAATGGTATAATGTTATGCCGGTATCTCTTGCCGTGTGTGTGTGTGTGTGTGTGAAGCCAAACGAGCGATAAAAGTCAACGCAAATTGCCAGTAAAATTTTCTTAAGGACACCGAAAAAAATGTGTTCAAAATATCCTGCAAAAATCCTGAAGAATAACATTTTCATATAATAAATCTGAATATAAATTGTTATGTTTAATAACATATCAAAAATATAATAAATAAGAGAGGAAGCTAACTTCGGCACATCGAAGTTTGTATACCCTTGCAGATTGAATTTTACACAAAATTCTAGATTAATATATAATGGCTATATTAAAAATTTGATGAAAATCTGTTGAAAACTGGAAAAGTTATAATGTTTTTCTTAAAATTTTCCGATTGTTCCTATGACAGTTATATATATATATGTATATATATAGTCCACCGATTCGGCATGCTCCAACTTCTATACTAGTAAAATTATATCGAAGAATAACTTCTTAGTTTCATTCAAATAGCTTGCTCCTAAATTTGTTCCAAAATCTCGCACATCCGTGCATATGATTCCCAACTTGTTTTAACATCCCCAGAACGAAGTGACTGCTGCCAGCCTCGTCTCAGATATGTGTTGTGTTACTAAAGTTGCAAGTCATTGTTTATTAGTCTTCAAAGTTAGTGAGTGATCATACATACTTACTAATTATAGATACTTATTGATCATATTTACTTACTGATCATAGATACTTACTGTTCAGAGTTAATTACTGATCATAGTTATTCAATGTTTATTGATACTTACTGATCAGAGTTACTTACAGGTCAAAGTTACTTAGTGTTCAGAGCTACTTAATGTTCATTGATACTTACTGATCAGAGTTACTTACTGGTAATAGTTACTTAGTGTTCAGAGTTATTTAATGTTCATTGATACTTACTGATCAGAGTTACTTACTGGCCATAGTTACTTAGTGTTCAGAGTTACTTACGCACATCTGTGCATATGATTCCCAACTAGTTCTAACATCCCCGGAACGAAGTGACTTCTGCCAGCCATGTCTCAGATATGTGTTGTGTTACAAAAGTTGCAAGTCATTGTTTATTAGTGTTCAAAGTTAGTGAGTGATCATACATACTTACTAATTATAGATACTTATTGATCATATTTACTTACTGAACATAGATACTTACTGTTCAGAGTTAATTACTGATCATAGTTATTCAATGTTTATTGATACTTACTGATCAGAGTTACTTACTGGTAATAGTTACTTAGTGTTCAGAGTTATTCAATGTTCATTGATACTTACTGATCAGAGTTACTTACTGGTCATAGTTACTTAGTGTTCAGAGTTACTTAATGTCAATTAATACTTACTGATCAGAGTTACTTACTGGTCATAGTTACTTAGTGTTCAGAGTTACTTACGCACATCCGTGCATATGATTCCCAACTAGTTCTAACATCCACGGAACGAAGTGACTTCTGCCAGCCATGTCTCAGATATGTGTTGTGTTACAAAAGTTGCAAGTCATTGTTTATTAGTGTTCAAAGTTAGTGAGTGATCATACATACTTACCGATTATAGATACTTATTGATCATAGCTACTAACTGGTGAAAGATACTTTTTGATTAGAGTTACTTACTGTAATGTAAACATACAAAAATATAGCATTAAGTGTAGAAAACACCTCCTTTATAGAGAAACTTGCGAAAATCTATATTTAATTTATTTATTTTCTTTACAATTATATTTGTTCGATATCATACATCAAGCAAATTATCGATTAACCGCTATCAAATAGCAACATTAAAATAGCGACCCGTTCATAGACTTTCCCTTAAAATCTCCATACATTGACATTCTTTCCAGCCCCTATTTTACATGTTTTACATTTTTCTCACAGTGCAATCGGATTTTGACTGCATATTTTCAGACAGCGTTTCCTTCTCTTGACTTTCCTTTCCTGTGCTGCCTTAATGTGTTGCTTTTCCCATTTTTTTCCTCACTTCCCTTTGACCATTGTCCACACCTGGCGGCGACCTGCTAGCCATCCTGACGGATTTCGGGGCAAGTTAATAATTTGAGCGGACCAGATGTTGCCATTGCTAGGACCCGCCCTCAAATTATGGTGATTTTATTCAGCACGCCTTTTATAATTGCCGCTCGCCGTTGTCGTCGTCGTCATCATCGTAGTTGTCGTTGTGTGCCCAACTAATTAAATTCTTTTTACTGTGATTAAATTAACACAAGCTCCGCAAATACACCCACAGTGAATCTCCGGAGACGAGCCTACCCGCCCCCTCCCAAACAGTAAACACTGGAAGAAGCGCCCCAGGCAGGAGCAAAGTTGAAAAAAATGTGAAATAAAATCACGCAAATGCTATTTATGTCCCTCGACACATTGTTGTGTGTGTGTGTGTGTGTGTTAAGGAGAAAGAAAGAGAGTGCGGAATGAGGTGGGGGAGCGGTGGGCGGTGCTCAAGAGGGCATCGCATTAGGGTTATCGTCACGGTGGCACAGTGGGCGGAAACAGGAAGTTGGGATAATAAAATATACATTTTTCAGTTTAGGGGGCTACCAAGAAAAATTTTCTTTTTTTTTGTTTTGTAAAGATGCTAAGGCATTTTCAAAGCATTAGAAGGACCTATGACAATGTTTTGTTTAATAGATTTTGTTGAGAAGTAAAGTTATGTATTATATTATATACCAATAAATTGTAAAAGCATGTGACACAGAACCTCAAAAGAGACAACAAAATCTTGTTAGATTTTTTTTTAAACATATTTTAATATCAATTAAAGAGGTCAAGATTTGCAGTGCCATAAAAACTACTACCATATGTTATGTAAAATAACTTTACGAAAATATAGAATTTCCAATACAAATTATCACTTTTTATACATGATCTTTGCTGTATCGATATTTGACAGGAATGTTGATATATTTTATTTATATATATTTGATAAGGTGATATTTTGTTTAATATATTAAATCTCTAAATATTTGGAAAACGAAAAAAGTCTTGTAAATATTTTTGATAAATTTCCAATACTTATGATTTCAATACTAAAGTTTGTGATATTTGCGATATGTTACTTAGGGCAATCTCAATCTCAATCTATCATTTAACCCTTTTTCTCGTTATATTTATTAATTAGTTCCTAAATGAATCATTACATGGTGTATCTTATGCTATATTTCATTTTGTTTGTTTGACATTATACTATATAGATAATAGTTTTAGTCTTTTTCGTTCGATACATATCTCTACTTAGCATATAATTTTCTCAGCATAAGAGTGTTAAAAGTGGATAAAAGATTCCCTGACTATGTCCCACAGTGCCTTGGTGTGTCATCATCGCCTTTGTTGCCCGGTCGTCGAGTGGTTGGCTGCTTCATCTGTCCCTTCGCACACCCTACCGTTCCGCTTGCCTCTCCTGCGTATCCTTGCACTCCTTTCCAGTTGTCCTCCGTGCTGGGTTCCCCCTGCTCTCCCTGGGTTGCTTCTTTCCTGGCCACGACTGTTTCATGCCATAATGAATAAATGTCGCATTAATTTGCACGCAGACCCCGAGTCGTGGCAAGAGGGGTATAGGAGGAGACAGTCTTTGGCACGTTTTCCACTGACTTTGCTTTGCGAAACGCTTGTTTTTCTCTATATACATACATAGCTTGCGAGGCAAACAACGCAAATCCATGCCAAACACTCGGGCAGACACACACACACACCCTCACGCGTAGAACGTGAATGAATGCCATATGAAATCGCGTAAACAAACTGACCCCTGAACCCTTGCCCCTGGTTGCAGCTCTGCACCCCTCACCCATTGCATAT